CTAATCCAGCCCGGAGGCGTGGATCTGCCCGCCGGGGCTGCTGCTCTGTCCCGAGCAGTCGCCACCCCATTGCCGCTACCAGATCAGGGCGAGTATGGATGCTCCCACGCCCAGGGAGCAGCGAGGTCAGTGCCTGGGGCTGGAAGGATGACAGCGCCCCACGCCTGTCCTATGCCAGCTCTGCCCTCCCTGCTCCTGAGAGAGACGGGGGATGCAGGGGGGAGACACCAGCAGGCAGACACCGGGCCCTGGTGGGCGGAAGCCGGTCCCACCCGACTGCAGAGCAGCAGGCAGGGCCAGGCCACCCTGGGGGTGATGTGGGGAAACCCACGCAGTCACTGGGATGGAGGGCGCCCACCTCTAAGCTGCCGTGGCCCCGCCTGTCGCGGGAGGACACACCTCCGTCTCTGACTCTGAGGAGGTGGACTTGCTCGGCTCATCCCAGGCCAGGGGCTCAGGTCAGTGCCCGGAACACTCGCCTCCATCCCAGGCCACAGGCACCATGAGGGCCCCAGTCAGCAAAGGGCACAGGCTCGGAGGAGGGGGCTGGCCAGGGAGCCGAACTGCTGTCCACGGAGGGCCCAGCCCCGTTCCCGCAGCCCCGGAGCTGGCAGAGGCCGAGCGCTGGGAGCATGACTTGGCAAGGCGTCTGGCAGAGGCTGGACAGACAGACATCCCTTGAGGGGGGGTTGTGGCCACAGGCAGGGGATGGAAAGCAGTGCTGGCCAGCCAGCCACCTGGTGGGCCACTTGGGCAGATGGCAGGCAGCCAGCCCAGGCCCAGCTGGCCCCCTAATGAGCCCCACACAATTTTCACCCCATATTTTTCCACTAAAAAAAGCAGTTAGACGCAAACCACCGAGTGGTGGGCGGGCCATCTGGAGGAGGTGGGAGGACCATGGCGGCGAGAGGGCTGGGGTGGGGGTGGGAGGTCTGCAGCACTGACTGGACAGCGAGGTCGTGGGCGGGGCCTGTGCATCAGGAGGGCGGACGGGAGGGCATTCACAGGGGAGGCTGCGAAGAGGTTTTCTGTCTTCTGTCTGCAGGCCAGCCTCCAGGCTGCTGCTGGCTGAGAGGGAACCTCAGGCCCTGGCAGGTTTGGGACGAGCGAACTGGCCGGAAGCACGGAGCCCAGGCCTCCCTGTGGCCCATCCAGAGAGGCCTTGGGGGGCTGCCCGCCTGGCCTGCTGTCCCCGTGCCCAGCACCTGCTGAGTCTGTGCAGACAGACCCAGGGCACAGAGCAGCTCCCCGCTCTCTTGCCCACCCAACCCGCACATTCAGCTGCCCCTTCTCCTGGCCTGTCCCCCCAGAGCGGCCACGCTGGTTCCAGCCCTCTGTGCGTCAGGGAACATGACAAGCCAGCCTGTCCCAACTCTGTAGGCATGAGTCCCAAGGGCCCAGCAAGGGTCGGGGAGGTGCCTGTGGATGCCAAGCAGCTGCTTGAGGCCAGGCACTGCTGCAGGTGATGCTGGCCTCCCCTCCTGCGCCCTCGCAGTCACAACCGGAAATGCCCGGAGGCACCTGCCTTCCTGCCTGCACCAGCCCCCCCAACCCCCAGGTCTGTGAACGGCCTCACCTGGCCGGTGCCAGAGAAAGGAAGTTGGGGTGCCCAGGGGGCAGAGGCCCTTCTCTCTGCTTGGGGTGGGGATCCTCACGGGTCAGCCTGGCTGCAGTGGGGAGAGCAGGAGGGGTGGCCACTTGTTCCGAGGTCCCAGGCGAGTGTCCCCCGGGCCTGCTTGATGGGCCTGGAGAGGGTTACTCGCTGCCAGGACTGCGCCGGGGCAAGGAGGGCGGGAACTCGGGTCTCTTGCCACCCAGCTGCTCACCACCCCCAACTCTGGGACCATCAGTGTGTCCATGGAGGATGCTGAGGGGCTGGACCACGGGCCACACACTGCACGGTGCCCCTGCAGCCAGGAGGGCCCAGCCCTGAAGACACCTGGCGAGGCCGTGCGGCAGGGACCTCCCGGGGTGGTGGCGCCGGACGCACTTGGAACAAAACCTGAACTTCATGCTGTGATTACACCACGTGGCCCTTCTGGGCTCACCCTCTGCTCCAGCCCCCGGGACGCTTGCACCCTCGTCCCTGCCTCGCCGTGCAGAGGTGGCCAGCCCTCATGATCGACGGAGCGGGAAAACGGCGCAAATGACACGGCTGGTGCCACAGCTGCCTCCTCGGAGCCAGACGAGACTGAGGGTGGGAGCCACATGCCACGGACGGCCACAGGGACAGACAGCTATTGTCACTGTCGAGTTTGGTTTCTGTTACAGCAGCAGCAGCTCCTGACTGAGGGGGCCGTGTGCAGGGTGGCTGGCCCCTGCTCCCTGAAGCCAGGAGGGAGGGCTGGGAGGCAGAGCTGCTGTGAAGGACGTGTCCTGGCTAGACCCCGGGGTGCAGGGAAAAATTCGCCAAGACCAGCACTGACGGGGCCAGGCAGGCGGAGCTTGTGGGCAGCAACTGTAGTGCTGGCCTACGGGGCCCGTGGGCGGAGCAGCCAGCAGCCGCAGGAACCCTCCCTCTGCCCCTCAGAGCAGCCCTTGGCTTCAGAGAGCATTTCCAAAAAGTGGTTCCCAATTAAAGGAGGCGCTGAAGGCGATGTGCCGGCTCAGCCTCTCCCCAGGTGCCCAACCGGACTCATTACAGACGGGGTGACAGGCAGCTCCTCGGGAAGACACGTCCCAGCACCCAGGCGCTGTGGGCAGTGGGACCCACAGGCGTCCCGCAGGCCCCAGGACACACTGGCCACCTCTGCCATCTGCCCCGCGGGCCAAACCACAATGACGACCCCTCCCAAGGCTTTGGGGCCAGCTCCCCTTGGAGGCCCGTCCTGGGCATCTCAGACCTCACCTGTCCACACTGCTCCTCCGTTCCCTCCCAGGCCTTGGGACAAAACGCTCGCTCTCAGCTGCCCCCCCCCCCCCATGGCTGTCACCTGGCCCCCGGCGTCCTCCGCAGGCCTGTCCAGCCCTCTCCACACCTGCATGGGCTTGTCCACTGAGCACCAGGAGGACCGCCTGCCCGCCGCCTGCTCACAGCTGGGACAGCGCCTGCCCGACGTGGCCAGGACGCGGAGCCGAGAGCCACATACCAGGCCTCCCAACGGAACTCACTCTGTTTCACAGAAACCTGACCAAACACCAGGCAGTGCTCAGCGGGCCCTCCAGGCTGCCTCCCGCAAAGCGCCCGCAGGCACATCGTCCCCAGGGCCTGCGTGCCCAGCCCCCCTGAGGGCCCCCCACAGGCATGAGGGGTCCCAGCCTGCCTGCCTCACCACCTGCGACTCCTCAGTGGGACATTCGCTTGTTCGCCGGCCCAGGTCCCAGCTGAGTGACCAGGTGCCCCTGACCCCACAGGAGCCCCAGCACCTTCCTGCCAGGTCTCCAGGGCCACCTGTGGGTCGAGTCAGCTGGGGGGTCCGTAGGGCTTACCTTGTCGTCCCCGTCACTCTCGCTGTCACACTGTGGGGAGAGAGAGGGGAGTTAGTGCCATGAGCCCCACAGGTGGCCAGGCGAGTTCACGGGAGGCCACAAGGCTCACACCAGAGAGAGGGTGAGTGGGAAGGACGGAGGAGGCTCTGCAGACCCACCCCCGACTCCGAGCCTCAGGCCTGGGGGGGTCCAACGCCAGTGGGACCAGGAACCCAGGCTGCAGAGGCCCCTCCTCACCCCAGGCCCAGCGGAGCCCAGCCTTGGGCAGCTGAGCTCTATGAAGGAGGCAAGGAGGGCGAGCGGTAGGGGGTGAGACCCCTGGAGAAGATGAGGGGTCAGGACAGGCCTGGCCAGAGGCGCCGCCAGCAGGGAGGGGTCGGGGTGCCCACCTGCTTGCCCTGAGGCTGTGCCGAGTAGAAACGGCCCCACATTGTTAGTGCAGCAGGTGAGGAAAGACCATGATCAACAAACCAACCTGTTTCTCATCAGTCAGCAGAGCTTTAAAGGAAAGACTGTTCTAGAAGCCAAAGCAATTCCCCCAAAAGGACATAAAGAAGGAAAGCTCTTCCCAGCAACTGCAATTAGGACAAGTGAGTGACGTGGCTGAAAACACCTCCCGGGTGCCCTGTCCATGAGCGTCCGACAGGCTGTGGGGCAGAAGCCGCCTGAGGGCTCAGCAGGGGCCGGGGCTGGGAGCAGCCAGAGGGGCCGCGTGGAAAGGCCAGTCTCATCCTGGGTCTGGGCTCCCCCCGGTGCCAGCCCAGGCCTGTGTGGCTGGCAGGAGGGGGGTAGGAGATAGGGCCCCTGGCGTCCCGCTGGCGGGGGGACCACCGCGGACTCACTGGCTTACAATGGGGGACTGAGGCAGCTGCCGGGCACCACACAGCGACTCCTGCGTGGTGGCTGGGAGGGGACTGAGGCCCCTTGGAGCAGGAAGTCGAGGCTGCGCCCAATTAGTCATGCAGAACCCCAGGAGGGTCCTGCGAGCCCTGGCTCACTCAGCCGATTCACTTTCTGTGGGTGTTTCGGCTTCAGAGCAAACAGGCACTGACCACTCCGTGAGCGAGCGATGAGGTTACTGCCGCCAAGGGCCCAGCACAGGCACCTCCGCCAGCGAAACCCCGCAGCGGACACCCACGCCCGTGACCTGTCACAGGTGGGCCAGCGAGAACGAGGGCTGCCTCGGCCTGACCAGGGGCTTCCCCTAACGGCCCGACCCCTCAGCCCTTGGCCCTCAGCCCCCGGGGCGGGGGGGGGGGGGGGGGGGGG